TAAGCAGCAAGGGGAGGCGTGGGGAAGAAAATGAACAGGGCTGAGAGAGAAGGTGGGGTCTGGCTGAGGAGAAAGGGCTGGTATAGAGTGCTGAGGGTAGAGGCTGGGTGGGAGCACAGAGGAGGAGGCCTGAGGGTAGAGGTTGGGTGGGAGCACAGAGGAGGAGGCCTGAGGGTAGAGGTTGGGTGGGGAGCACAGAGGAAGAGGCCCTGAGGGTAGAGGCTGGGTGGGGAGCACAAAGGAAGAGGCCCTGAGGGTAGAGGCTGGGTGGGGAGCAGAAAAGGGAGGCTCACAGGATTGGGGTCACTGTGCCCACTGTACCCCGACCCCCAGCAGGGGTGGAGGGTTGACTGCCGTATTGGGCTCGCGCTCAGGGCTGACTTGGGCAGAGTCCACTGACTTACAGCGCCGGACCCTATGTGCTCCCTGCTTGGAAAGGCTGAACCCTTCCCAGTGGGCCTGGGGCCTGGCCCCTCCCTGGGTCTTTCAGACCCCAGTCCCTCAGCCAGGCCACCCTGCCCTTTGCTCCCAGAGGTACTGGCTTCACCCAGGCCTGCCCAGACCAGCTCCAGTTCACCCAGGCCTCGCCTGGCCCCGCCCCCAGCCCGGCCCATCCCTCCCCTCGGCCCCACCAAGGCCGCACCCCACCCTCCCACAGCCCCGCCCATCCCTCCCCTCCACCCTACCCAGGCCTTCCTCAGTCCCGCCCATCCCACTCGCAGTTCCGCCCAGGCCTGCTTCGCCCCACCCCGCCTATCCCTTCCCTTGGCCACGCCCAGACCTCATCTCGGTCCCGCCCATCCCTCCCCTCAGCCCCGCCCAGGCCTCCCCACAATCCTGCTCTGCAGCCCAGGCCTCACCTCAGCTGGGTGGGGCCTCGCCTCAGTCCAGGTCTAGGCCTCTCCTCAGTCCCGGTCGGGGCCTCGCCTCAGTCCGGGTCGGGCCTTGCCTCAGGTCCCGGCCTCACTCCCTCACTGGCCCCAGCCAGGCCTCATCCACACCCACGCGGCCCCCAGGACCAGGCCTTGCCCTGGGCTCACTGCTCCGGGCCAGGCCTGGCCTCTCACAAGGCTGTTAGCCAGGCCTCACCTGTGCCCCTGGCTGGCGTTCGCTCGGCCTCACGACGGGACGACGCTCTCGCCTGACTGACGGATGGCGGATGAGGACAAATGCCGTTAAACCTTGGGACGCATGCGCAGGCTTTGCCACTGCGCGTGTGGTGGTGTCTGCGCCAATCCGTGGTCCCTTCCGCCGGAAGGGTGGACCTGGGCACGGCCTGCGTGGGCCTGCTGGGGGCCCGGGCCTGTGTGGGGCCTGGTCCTGGGGCCTGTGTGGGCCTGGGGCCTGTGTGGGGCCTGTAGGGCCTGTGTGGGCCTGGGGCCTGTGTGCTGTGTGGGGCCGGGGCCTGTGGCCTGCGGCCTGTGTGGAGCCTGTGTGTGGGCTGTGTGGGCCTGGGGCCTGTGTGGGGGCTGTGTGGGGTCTGGGGCCTATGTGGGGGCTGTGTGGGACCTGTGGGCCTGTGTGGGGCCTGCTGTGGGGCCTGCTGTGGGCTGGAGCCTGCTCTGGGCAGGGGCCTACTGTGGGCCATGGCCTGGGGCCTGCATGGGGCTTCCAGTGATCTGGTGTCCAGGTCTGGGGCCTGAGTACTGTGGTTTCCCTGCAGTTCAATGCCTTGTGTGACTTGGCTAGATGGAAACTTCCTTCTGCCACTTGTGCTTCATTGACTGGCTTTCTCATTACCTCCCCCTCCCCTGAATGCAGTTAAGAACTCTGGCTTTGAAATGGCCTCCTGAGGGGACACTGCACCCGGGGAGACCTGATTCCAGCCCCCAGCTGCAGCTTTGAGTCTCTCTCAGTTAACTTGGAGAGTCACCAGTTTATCTGGGTGTGTGGTGACTCACACCAGTAATCCCAGCTACTTGGGAGGTAGAGATAGGACTGATTCTTGAGGATGGCTTGAGGAAAAAGTTTGTGAGAGCCCCATCTCCACTTACAAAGCTGGGTTTGATAGTGCCATGTGTCATCACTGCTAGGTGAGTATGGCAGCCTGGGTAGGCTGGCCTAAAAAGGAGAGATGCTGTTTGAAAGGCAATTTTGAAACACTGTGCAACTGTGTCTGAAGACAGCATAAAGGAGCCAATGGGGAGTTAGGTAGTAGGAAAAAGAGCACAGCTGGACATGATGACTCATGCATAGAATTTTTCTTAAGCAGATATTATTTGTTTGAGTCCTTGCTGAGGTCATTGGGTGTTTGTTTTTGTGGTACTGAGGATTGAACTCGAGCTTCCTGTTTGCTGGGCTGGTGCTTTATCACTTAGGCCACACCTTTAGCCTCAGTAGGATGGATATTGGGAAGATCTTGGTTCAAGGTCAATCCAGGCAAAAACTTGTGAGACCTCCCACCCCAACAGAAAAGGCTAGGTGTAGAGTCCCAGTGGTGGCTTGCACCTGTAATCCTAGCTGCCTGGGAGGCTGAGATCTGGAGGATCACAGTTTTAGTCCAGTCCAGGCATACATAGGAGGCCTCTTCCCCACTGATAGCTGGGTGCTGTGTTGTGTGCCTGTCACCGTGACAGTAAGCCTAAATGCACAGACTTAGGTCCAAGTGTGCATCCAGGAAGAAAGGGGGGAGACCCTATCTAAAAAATACCTCCCCGCAACACGGCTGGCAGTGTAGGTCAGCAGTGCCTGCAGCAAATAGGAGCCCAGCACGTGCTATGAGTCCCAAATTGCCATCACTCTTCTACTCAAAGCACAATGAATGCCAGGCACCCATGGCTCACACCTGTCAACTACTCAGGAGACTAAGATCTGAGAATCAAGGTTCAAAGCTGTGCAAGAAGGTCTGTGAGATTTTTATCTTCAACTAACCACCAGAAAACTAGAAGTGGTGCTGTGGCTCAATGTGGTAGAGCACTAGCCTTGAGCAAAAGAGCTCAGGGTCAGCGTCCAAGCCTTGAGTTCAAGTCCCATGACTGACATAAAAGCTGAGTGAGATATGTAAGCCAAATATTTTAGGCTCAAGGAAATGCCAAGTTCTTGGATGTTAAGGAGATACTAAGTTTTTGGACTTATAATTTTGACAATCTCCCCCACATACACTCACTCACACATATTTAACTCCAAACACTTTAAATGGACAAAAGACTGAGAAATACCTTATTTTTAACTTTATTTTTATTGATGACACTATTACAGGTAGAACAACTACAACCATATTAACGAACCAAAAGCTTGTGCACAGAGACAAGATGAATACTTCAAGATGTTAACCACGGCCTTTGGATGGTGAAAATATGGCGAGTTTCTTCTACATTGCCACAGCTTCAAGGTTTCTATAATGAACAGATACTGCATATATAATGAGATATATGATAATAGAAGCAAATTACCCAAACACTATGAGAAAGATCACTCAGAAAAACTGAGGCAGTACAGCAAAGGGCAATTCCACAACAACCACAGAGCTAGCTTTTGATTTGTCTCCAGATTTCTTCCTGTCTTTCACACTTGTGCATCTTATCACAGATCAAGGTGGTAACGCTAATTGTTGGGAGCACAAGTGGATTTCCTTCTACTTTACTGAATTGCCCAGTTTTCTATGAGCATGTATTGAGTTTGTCATGGAAAAATACGTACATAAAGCTTATTACCAAAAGGCCAAAGATTATTCTAGAAATTTGGAACAAAATATTTAACCATAATCCCACAACACGATTTTAATTATTTTCCACATTTCTTTTCATTTTAGACTTTATGTAGACATATTTAACACTGTTCTAGTCACAAGATTGTGCACGGATATAAGATGGAGGAAATAGAATGATCTTAATGGTAGTTGTTGGATGTTGGGGAATATGGATTGATTTTTTTTCCCTTTCCTAAATTTTCTCTATTTTCCAATTTCTCCTCAGGGTGTGTATGATGCTTGAAATAGTGACATATAGAACAAATGCTGTTACCAGGACATTATTTTAAAGGAGAAAATAGTGATGAAGGTATTTAGTCATAATTCCACAAGTAATTTAACAGGTATCTTGAATACACATTTTGACAGTTATAATCATAAACGTGCACAGAGACAAGGATGATATTGAAGAATATATCTGTCTTTGGATGGTCAGGGGATGGATAGTTTTTCCTCCACTTTTCTGTTTTCCAAATGATTTATAGTGAGTTCAAATCATGTTCACAATGGAAATAGGACCATTAACTTTGTACTAACACTACCATGAAAGGACATTCAAGAAAGTTAAGAAAATAATGTTTGACTATATGCCTACAACACAATAGCTTTTGACTATAAGCATACCTCTTTAAACAGTTATAATTGTAGTATAAATATAATTTTGTGTCCTGCTTTCTCCACGTACTATTCTGTAAATATATTTCCATTGCTACATAACTCTTTGTGATTATCATTCTTAAACAGCTGCAAGAGTTGAAGGGTACATTTACTTAATCGTTCTGCTGTTTGGCATTGATACTGTTCCTGCACTTCCACTCAAAATTGGAATGGACACCCTAACTTCTTGGCAAGTTTCTTTCTGAAAGCCAGCAATAACGAACCCCCAAATTCATACCAATGCAGCGTACCCACCGCTCCTCAGTTTCCCCGGGTGTCAGTTCCAACCTTGTGTCTTTCTATGCTGACAACCTTCAACTTCTTCCAAACTGCCCAGGACACTGCTCAATTCGTTCTTGCCACCCTGGCCTCCAGCCCGCTCCTTCCCCTCCCAGGCCCCGGGCGTGCAAGCGTGCGTGTGAGGAGCCCCCTCTTTGACATTCTTGTTCCTGGAGCTCAGCTCTCCCACCTCCCTGGGCTCTGGCACTCCCTCATCCTCACACTTCCCACACACCTTGCCTCGCCTACAGACCTGGAGGAGGAAGAGCCCGACGTGTTGCACTTGTCAGACGCCTGCACTCACGTCTGTACTCTTCTCCACAGATCTCTTTCCTTTTTTTTTTTTTGAATTTTTTAAATTTTAAATTTTTTTTTCCCCAGCCAACTCAAGGCCAACATTTTTTTTGTTTATCTAGCCATTACGCGAGGGGAGGGGAAGCAAAGGAGCAAAGGAGGACATAGGGACCCCAAGCTCTGAGGCCAATTTGTGATTAAGAGGAAAAATCAGGTCAGACAACACGACACAAAATTGACAGCTCAGAAATGCGCAGGAAGCTTGAAAGAGAAGGATCAAAGGCAGCAAAGCAAATCACGGCTGCTGGGGAGCTGAGTCCATAGCACAAGCTTGGGTTGACTACAAAGAAAGCTTTTTTTGTGTGTGTTTTTGCTTTAAAAAAATTTTTTTTAAAATGCAAGTTAGACGCAGGGATACAGACTCAGACAGGTAAAGAACAGGAGAACTGAGCAATAGAAAAGTCTAGAGGCTGACCCCTGGGCACCCAGGGGTAAGCCGACTTGTGGCAGCATGGAATGAAGCCACTGGGGCTGACGCTGCCAGGGCGGCGGGAAGCCGCTCCAGGCTGGCCAGCTCCTCAGGCACTGCTGTGATCTAGCCATGGTTACAACCCATTCTTTAAAGGCAGCGATAAAACATTTACAGGGAAAAGCCTTGATTCACTACTTAACACACACCAAGTTAGCTATTAAAAACAAAACAACACATGTAAAAACCCAACTAATATTTTTGTGTGAGAACCACAGCAAGATAGGTACAATGTGGCTACAAGTGGGCCTGGGTGACAAAGACCGTCGGAGCAAGGAAATGCTCGCGGCTCTGTGGTTTAGGTGCAGATAGACGGGTGCTGGAGGAAGTTCAAACTACTTCTCTCTCAAACACAAAGAGAAGAGACTCCTTCCCGCCCGTGTCTGTACCTCACAAGACAATTGACAAGAGATCAAACACAGCACTCAAAAAGAGAAACTAGTGGGTTCAGTTCAAGCACAGTAAATCTTTTTCAGGATCTAAGACACTTACAAATATATTCTAATTTGTTGCTCTCTTCCTCCTCCAAAAAAGAAAATAAAAATCAGAGAACCAGGAAAGGTACCTCTGCCCAGTAAACTGTGACCGTTTATCACATTAAATCCAAATAAACATGATCCCATTTTGGCTACGATTTGCTCATTTATGTACATGGCAGGAAAAGTCGCTCCAGGGATGGGAGTGACACTGGAAGTTCGCTAAGGTGTGTCTTTAGTCTGGTCCCTCGAGTAGAGGGTGAGGCTGTGCTGTGTGCAGCACCTTTCCCCAGCTGCAGCGGTGGCCACCTTAGCAGCTAGGAGGGAAGGCGGCTTCACGGTCCAGTCTGGGTTATCTATGCTACCTTGGGTGTGCATGTCCTAAGGTGGTTTCTTGGTATTGGAATAAGTTCAGTTCTCTGTGTTTTGGCACGGTCCAGCTCTGGGCAGGGAGGCGTGGCGGCCCCTTCTGCTCAGCCGGTGTGGGTATTCTGGTGTCTGGCGAGGGACAGGCGGTCGTTGAAGAGCTGGCCGCAGACGTCACATCTGAAGTACTGGTGGTCAACCCACTGGGCCGCACTGGGGCCCGCGCCCTCTCCTGGGGCGTTGCTGGGCAGGACCAGGCTGGCGTGGGCTCGCAGGTGCTCCCTGAAGGCTGCGCTGGATGCAAAGGTCTCAGTGCACTCCTGGCAATTATAGTAAGGCCTCTCCTGCTCCTCGCCCTCTTCCTCGGGGTCTTCGATGCCTGCCGCATCTGGCTCGTCAGCATCCCCCTCAGGCTCCTCCACCCTTTCTTCTGGGTCTTCAATGCCCACACCATCTGGCTCATCGGCATCCCCAATGGGGTACTCGGCCCCTCCGTTGGGCTGTTCAGCCTCCCCGTCTGCCTCAGCCGCCTCTCCATCAGGTCCTTCTGCCTCTCCGTCCGGCTCTGCAGCCTCCACGTCTGGCTCGGCCGCCTCCACCTCTGGCTCAGCCGCCTCCACCTCTGGCTCAGCAGCTTCTACATTTGACCCTTGGATGCGCAGAACTTCCTGCGGAATGAGGACGTTGACTTCAACCTCCTGTGCGGTGGCCGCTTCTTCCTCCTCCTCCTCCTCATCATCATCCTCTTCATCTTCGGGGTCAAACACTGTGTGCTTGGTGAGGATTGTGTCATGCATGAAGGCCTGCCCACAGTCCCTGCACTCATAGAAGGGCCCGGGCCGCCGGAGGGGCTCGGTGAGGAATGAGGCATGGGTGAAGGAAGCCCCGTACTCATAGGGCTCATCCTTGTGCACCTTGGTGTGGTGGTCCCCCAGCTGCTTGGCTGTGAAGAAGCACTCTCCACAGACGGTGCACTCGAAGAGCTTCTCCTCGGTTTCGCTGCCCTGGAACTCGGTGAGGGCCAGGGTCTGGATAAAGATCTCCTCGCCCGCTTCCGTTTGCTCCAGGAACTCTTCATCCCTGTGGTGCCGCAGGTGCTCGTTGAGGGCTGAGCTGTGGATGAAGCCCTGCCCACACTGCAGGCAGCGGATGGCCGCCCCAGCCACAGCGGGGTTCCTCTCAGCAGCTCGGCTCCTCCTCGACTTCACTGGCAAGAGGCAGATAAAACCATCATCGCAACCCTTCACAGAATACAACTGATCTTGCTCATGGACTCTCTGATGCTCAAACAGGAAGGAGCTATGGATAAAAGACTCACCACACTTGGGGCACTCAAAGAGCTGCTCTCCAGCGCACTCCTTCTGGTACTCACTGAGGGAATGCATGTGTACATCTGAGAGGGCGTATTCACGGCTGTCAACGAGGCACTTCCTGCTGTGCACGTCCTGATGGCTTGTGAGGTCTGTGAGGTACACGAAGCCCAGCCCACACTCCTGACATTCATAGATGGTGTCTTCAGGCTCATCCTTCTGCTCATCCGAGCTTGACACCTGGCTGATAGTGTCCTCGCCTGTCTCCTGATCTTGGCTCTCCTGGTCATCCATCTCCTGACCCTGGCTTTCCTCACTGTTGATCCCCTGATCACAGGTGTCTTCACCGTGGGTTTCCTGAGCATCCATCTCCTGACTCTGGGTCTCCTGAGCATCCATCTTCTGATCCTGGATCTCCTGAACATCTATCTCCTGATCCTGGATCACCTGAATATCTATCTCTTGATCTTGGATCTCCTGAACATCTATCTCCTGATCCTGGCTCTCCTGAACATATATCTCCTGAACATCTATCTCCTGATCTTGGATCTCCTGATCATCCATCTTCTGATCCTGGATCTCCTGACCATCTATCTCCTCATCCTGGATCTCCTGACTGTCCATCTTCTGATCCTGGATCTCATGACTGTCCATCTTCTGCTCCTGGGCCTCCTGACCATCCATCTTCTGCTCCTGGGTCTCCTGACTGTCGATCTTCTGCTCCTGGGTCTGACCTTGGGTCTTCTCAGCATAGGTTCCCTCCCCAGGAGTCTTCTCTTGGGTACAGATGGCCCATTGCACAAGGAGGCTGTTGTTGGTAGCAGACTTGTTGGATTTGTCATGTACTTGTTCTTCAGCATACTGTTCTTGGGTATAACTTGTCTGAGGACTAGTAGTGGTCATGCTGTGATTGATAGATTGCTCATAATGCCCACTTCCAGAGGGCTTTTCTCGGTCATGAATCTTCTGGTGCTCAATGAGGTCAGAGCTACGATAAAAGGACTCGCCACACTCCTGGCATTCATAGAGCTTTTCTCTGGGGCGAACTATTGGCAGCTCACCAAAAGGTAGGGAATGATAGACAGTGGGCTCAATGTACTTCTTCTTGGCACGAGCTTTCTGGTGGCTGCGGACACTGGTGGTGGGGACTGAAAAGACACCATCTTGTTTGAATTCACGTGCTCTGTCTCCAGCAAGGCTTCTTTGAGGCTCTGCATAGGATGTGCTTGGCATGGTGGCATCTCTGTAATCATTACTATCCCCATCATAAGGGCTCTCTCTGGCAGGAATCTTCCGGCGCTTGTTGTGGAGGTCTGAGAGGTAAGTGGAGGACTCTCCCTTCTCATCACAGCCTGCCTCTTTGTTAACATAGTAACGCTTCAGAGATCTGGGAATAGCCAGGCTACGGGTAATGGAAGCCAGGTATTCCTTCCCTGCAGAGGAATTCTCTCCAAAACAGGCTTTCATGTAGTTGGGGACCTCTGAGCTGTGCGTGGCGGGCATTGCGGGCACTGCGGGTTTAGTGAACCCGGACACACTTTTCTGAGCTTCTGCAGAGCCTAAGCAGTGAGTATTAGATTTCTCATAGAACTTCCCCTCGTAGGCATTTTCCTTCGTGGGAGGTGTCTGGGCTTCATCAGGGTTAGAGCTGATGGTGAATGCCTTCTCCTCTTCCTCATCCTCAGGTGGTCTTGTGATGGTGTGACTCTTCTGAGATTCAGTGAAGGGCATGCTATGCACAGCAGACTTCTCATATCCACGGCCATTGAAGAAGTTCTTTCGAGAATGAATTTTCTGCTGCTCACTGAGGTCTGCATTTTGCATAAAGGGATCCCGGCCATCTTTAACGTCAAAGAACTTCTCCTTGGTGTAAGTTTTCTGACGTCTTTTGAGGGATGAGCTAGGTGTGAAGGCCCCCTCACAGGCTGGGCTCTTGCTTTCGAATGGGTTTCCCCTGGCATGGATTTTGAGGTGCTCTTTCAGAGAGGAGCTGTGGAGGAAGGAGTCCCCACACACCTTGCACTCGTAGATCTTGTTTTTGCCATACATTTTCTGAAATTCTCTCAGGGCTGCGCCGGGCATGAAGGCTGCCCCACGCCCTGGCTCATGGTCACGCTCACTGGCCTCATCTCCACCACAGCTCCCTACCTCATGGACTTTCTGGTGCTCAATGAGGGCAGAACTGTGAAGGAAGGTTTCCTTACACACACGACACTCATAGAATTTGTCTTTGCCATACATCTTCTGAAGCTCACTGAAGGTTGGGCTGGGCAGGGCCTGCTCCTCACTCTCCTGGTCCTTACACTCAGCCAGGTACTCTCTGGCATGGATTCTGCGGTGCTCCGCCAGAGCGGCACTCTTAGTGAAGACTTCCCCACACTCTCTACACTCAAAGCGTTTCCCTCCACTCTGATGACTCTGGCTCGGACCCTCATTGGGAGTAGAGCTCTGAACGAAGGACTCGCCATACTCATAGAGATTCTCCCTCGTATGCATGATCTGGTGTTCCACGAACTCTGATATGACGGTGAAGGAGCGCCCACACTCGTCACACACGTAGGATGTCGCCCCCAGGTCACTGGGCTGTGACTCTGAGGAGGAGGCTGAGGCCAGGCTGCTCGTGCCCGTGGCCCTTCTCATCTCACTGCCACACTCAAAGGGCTTCTTCCTGGCACTGCCCTTATGCTCATGAGCCCCGCTCTTCCCCTCTGTGTCAAAATGATAGCGCCTTTTCCTCTCCAGAGCCCTCCTTCTAGAGATCAGGTTGGGGTTGAACCTGAAGCCTCCCCTAAACGCGCTCCCCTCGAAGCCTCTCTGAGGGGCCAGTGGCTCCCTGCGGTTTAACGAACTGTCCCTCCAGTGGTCATCTGGCACTCTGGGGAACCTCTGCAGCCGATCATTCGGCTCCCTGGCTCTTCCCGACCGGGAGCCGTGTGCTGCATCCTTGATGAATTTTTCCATGATCACTCCATGAGAAGACTCATCCTCACAGATCCCCCGACGGTGGCTTGGCTTTTTGGCTTCAGGCATAGTTTTCAGACCTGGAAAGAAACCCTAAATGTAAATACTCCCTAGCCCTCCACACTTGCACAAAACAATGGTGGACTTGTCTGCGAAATGTTGGAATGTCAAGTGTGAGTGCGCTATGTGTGGCCCAGGCCGAGGGGGCCTCTGGGGGCTGCCCAGGCACTCACCGCGACTGGTGCTCGGATAGGCACTTCGCTTGGCTCTGGAGGAGTGGCCTTGTGTCATGTGGGAGTGGCGGTCATCTTCAGCAAGCTGCACCCCTGCTCACAAGAACAATACCACAGCTCAGACTTGGCTGGAGGATGGACTTGTGCCCTCCTTCTCTGAGGCATTAAATAGGAAGTGGCATTCTTCAGATGTCTCTCACTCATCTCATTTCCCCACTATCCATTCTTCATCTCATTCCAATCTGCATTTTAATCCTTTTCCGTGCTGATACACTCAAGTTTGTCAACCTCCCTGGGAGTCCACACAGGAGAGCATCTCCTTTAGCCTTTTTCTGCAACCTCTTTTTCAGTGGCCTCTGTGGTTTTCCTATTCTTTTTTTTTTTTGCTTTGATTTTACTTTTTTATGTTTTTGAGACAGGGTTTCAATATGGACCTGGGCTGGCCTCAAACTTACAATCCTCCTGTCTCAGCTTGATGAACACTGAAATTTCAGGAATATGCCACTATGCCAGCCTCCTCCTCCTCCTCCTCCTCAACATTCTTTTTTTTTTTGTCAGTTGTGGGGATTGAACTCTGGGCCTGGGTGCTGTCCCTCAGCTCATCAGCTCAAGACCAGCACTCTACTACTTGAGCCACAGCGCCACTTCCAGTTTTCTAGTGGTTTATTGAAGATAAGAGTATCACAGACCTTCCTGGTTGGGCTGGCTTTGAACCATGATCCTCAGATCTCAGCTTCCTGTGTAGCTGGGATGACAGTTGTGAGCCACCAGTGCCCAGCTTTGATATTCTTTATCTACTTCAGCACCAGAGCTCTGCATGGCCCCATAACTATAGACCTGCACACCCAGGTGCTTGTTACAACTAGACTACATGCTGTCTGGAAGAGTCTACCTAGAACACAAGATCCCATTGTAAAGGTGCTTTAAAATCTCTGCTTTCATTACTCTAGAAAAAGTATCAACTCTGGCTAGAGCTATGCTTGTTTCACCTAGGCCCAGGGATGATGTATTCTTCAACCAAAGCCAGACAGGTTTCTTTAAAAAAAGAAGTCTGCTCACTCACTTCCCTATTTAAAAACTGTCCCAGGTGTTTTCGTGTCCATCAAGACACGGTGCATTGACATGGACCCATCCTTCCTCCGCCTGGGACAAGTAGGGGGACAGCACCCTCCCATGGTTGCGAGCCTCGGGGCTGTCACTCACCCAGTGACAGCAGCTTCCTGTAGTTCTCCATGTTGTCCTGGATCGGGTTCTGAGACTTCCTGTCCTCGCTGGCCTCCATAACACTCCGGTATGACTCGGCATCCTGCAACAGCAAATGCAGAGCGCTCAGTGAGTGTCTGTCCCACGGACGACCAGAGAGAGAACAAGGGTGGCAGCAAGGGGCTACATACATGAAGTCATAGAGGAAGTGCTCACGGTGTTTGGGGTCTGAGTGATCCAAGTGTGACTAGGGGCCTACGTTGTACCTACCTTGGTGCTACACTCTGAGGCAGATCCCAAAGACGCATGACACATATTCCTTGCCCTCATGCAGCTTATAATTTGGTTGGAGAGAAAAGACTCATGAAACAATTAGAGAACAGTAAACAGTAAATGGGGATACAGATAATCAATGCTAAATGGGCTTTGTGGAAGGAGAGTTCAGGGTGATCCTGAGCAGGAGCAAAGGCTTTGCTGAGGGCTCTGGGCGGCAGGTGGGAGGGTTCAGTGTGCACTGCAGGGACTGGCAGGAAAGCGTGAGCAGGCCAAGTATGGACATGCACGGGGCACCCACGGAGCAGTCGTGCCAGGCAGGTATCTGGTCCGGGCGTGTGCTACACGCTCCATCCCTGTTCCTCCACTCCACAGCAAGGCCAAATGGAGGCTTCCAGTGTGAGGCCTTCCACATGGCATGGGATAACTGCATGCATCAGAGGCTTTCATCTACAACTACCACTTGTTTTAATAGCTACTTCTCCAAAGAGATTTAAAACTCCTTTCAGGAGACTGTTCTATTGTAGCATCCTTAAAGGATTTTGTTGTCGCTGGGGCTGAACTAGAATTGCAACCCCCTTGGCAAGGTGTGGCTCCGGGAGGATGACCCTGAGGTGTGAAAAGGTACTAGAAGAGGGAGACCCTGCCGTGGGCTCCACCTTGTGGAGCTGGAGAGCACCTCAGGATCCAGGGAGGACTGCGCCATGGGCAGGCGGACACAGCCTCAGACACAGCAATCTGGCAGGTCCTCAGGTTCCTCACTGTGAAATGGAGGGAGGGTACCTGTGAGCCTTGAGACACTATCATGTGGGATTTCTGCAGTGGGATGTGTTGATTAAATATTAAGAAAAGGGATGGAAAGGAAATTTATTCGTTCTGATACCATAGCAGCATGGAAAATGTAAAGGAGAGGAGCTCTGCAAAGTCAAAGGCTCCTGTTCCTCAGGAAGTGCACAGGCCATCTGTGTGAGCAGATGTAAGACAAGCGAGGCCCCTGCCCAGGTCCAGGCCTTTAAAGCGGACAACAACCGAGGTGGAGAAATGACTCAGAGCTTCAGGAAACCTTTTTGTGGTTAAGAAAGTAATCATAAAATTCTGGAGGTGTGGCAGAACTAGCACACTGCTCTTCCTAAGGCTGGCTTTTCTTGGGTGCCCATCTTCCCCTGCTATACAGCAAAGCTCCTGGCGGGCAGGAATTCTGTCCTCATCAAGTTTGGGAAGGGGCCTTGGCTCTTGCTTAACTCAGCAGTGAGTATGTGCCTGGAAGGGCCTGCAGTGGCTGAGGAAGCCAGGGCCGAGGAAGCCAGAGTGGCAGAGGACAGATGCGTCCAGGTCTCAGGAGCCACCATTTTGGGCACAGAGCCAATGGCAGATGGGAAATTTCTCATATTTATTTATCTACCTGCCTGATTTGAATAAAAATTAGTGCATATTAAATTCTCAACTACTGGGGCTGTGAAGGTGGCTCAGTGGTAGCATGCTTGCCTTGCATGCATGAGGCCCTGGGTTCGATTCCTCAGCACCACATAAACAGAAAAAGCCAGAAGTGGTGCTGTGGCTCAAGTGGTACAGCACTAGCCTTGAGCTAAAGAGTTGAGGGACAGCGCCCAGGCCCAGAGTTCAAGCCCCACAACTGACAACAAATAAAAATAAAAAATAAATTCTCAACTACTTTGTTCCTATAAAACAAAAAGGAACTGGATGCTGGTGCCTCATGCCTGTAATCCTAGCTACTCAAGAGGCTGAGATCGGGGCTGGAAAGGTGGCTCAGTGGTAGAGTGCTTGCCTTGCAAGCATGAGGCCCTGGGTTCGATTCCTCAGCACCACATAGCAGAAAAAGCCGGAAGTGGGGCTGAGGCTCAGGTGGCAGAGTGCTAGCCTTGAGCTGAAGAGCTGAGGGACAGTGCTAGGCCCAGAGTTCAGGCCCTATGACTGACCAAAAAAAGAAAGAAAAAAGAAAAAGAGGCTGAGATCTGAGGATCATGAGGATCATGGTTCAAAGCCAGCCCAGGCAGGAAAGTCCATGAGACTGATCTCCAATGAACCATCAGAAAACCAGAAGTAGCACTGTAGCTCAAGTGGTAAAGTGCTTTCCTTGAGCTGAAGAGCTGAGGGACAGCACCCAGGCCCACAGTTCAAGACCCACGACCGACCAAAAAAACCAGCCACTGGCAGTAGTGGCCCTGAGACTGTGGCCTGTCATCAGCAATGGCACCTCACTGTCCTTGAGCTGTAGTTAAGGCTGACCAGAGAAGAGGCCCGAGAATGCTGCCAATACTGCATGACTCCATAACGAAGCAGGCTGGCAGAGGAAACAGTTGGTGTACACCTTTAAAACACAACCTGCTGCTCCCGCCTCTACTGCAGTCAGTGGGGACCAGGCTCTCAGACTCTTCACATGTCAAGATGTTTTAAAAACAAAACTAGACAAAAAGCTGGGCACTGGTGGCTCACGCCTGTCATCCTAGCTACTTAGGAGGCTGAGATCTGAGAATCTCAGTTCAAAGCCAGCCTGGGCAGGAAAGCCCATGAGACTCTTATTTTCAATAAACCACCAGAAAACCAGAAGTGGCACTGTGGCTCATGTGATAGAGTGCTCAGGTTGAGCTGAAGAGTTCAAGGACAGCATCCAGGCCCAGAGTTCAAGCCCCACAACTGACAAAAAGCAAAAAAACTAGACAAAGTCCAACTACAGTCCCCACACGCAGAGTGCCTCTGGGCATCCCCCAACGCTCCCCCATTGGGCAGCTGTCTAGTTCTCACACAGTTCCTGCATCCAGGCCTTTGCCTGACTACTTCCTGGTCCCCATCTGTCCTCACTGTACTTCCCTGCTCCTCAGGGGTCCTTCACTGCAGCCTCCAATGGAGCCACTCCATCCCCCCCCCATAAACAGATGGAGTGTCATGCCTCTAGGACTTGTTCCTTCTATCCAAACTTCTTGTTAGTGTTCTGTGCTGTGTCCAGGACACTACACTGGGCGATTACATATAGTGCTGCTTGTGTGGCTGTTCCTGCACCTGCAGGGCTGGGGTAGGGAGCCCATCTTGGTCCACACTGCTCTTCCCAGGGCCTCCCCACACTCTGCTGAGGGGCAGGCACTTGGCTGAAGAAGAAGGCTCCGCCACTGGTGCCTCTCCTTTCATCCTTCCTCAGTATCTAGCTCAAATCCCTCCACCAACCTACTGATCAGTGACTATACAGCCATTAACACAGGGTGCCTCTGTGTGCTGGGCAGCATGGTAGGCACTGTGTGTGCACATGTATGTGTGTGTGCATGCATGTGTGCATATGTGAAACTCACCAAGTCTCACAATGGCCTAAGAGCAGTCACCATACTCATTTTACAGATGAGGAAACTGAGGTTTGGCTTAGCTGGTAAACAGCCCAGCTCCACACAGTAGCAGGTGGCAGAGCCAGGCTGGAGCCCAGTTTTCTTCAGCACCAGTCTTTCCTCTTTGGCCAGGCTGCTTTGCAAGGTGTACCTTCCCTGGCTCTGCTTTCTGTGTCTCCCGGCTCCCCAGCAACCAAATGCCACATGCTCAGGGGCACAGGGGAACAGGCTGCAGCCACTCAGCCACTGGCCACCAGTGGGAGGGGCCTGACTCCTGGTGAGGCCGAGCAGGGGCTCCCGGCCACAAATGGGCCTCTAGGGGGCAAATGAACACGTGTTGGATAAATGGAGACAGCCTTCTGGAAAAGGGGGAACCTGAGCATACCTGGGATCGGGACTCATAATCCATGGAGACACCGTCCTCCTCTCTTTCCATCTGGAAACTTGCCCTGGCCATCACAGGCAGGGAAAGGTCGCGATGAGGCAGCCCTGGGAAGACACAAGGTATCAGGAGCAGCGGAGACCCAGGCTGGCTCAGCGGGGCTTGGGTTTGTCAAGGTGTAGCTAGTCTGGGGGCTGCATGGAGACAGCCCCAGCCCTGGCCTCTGGCTCCTCATCTCAGAGCTGGGTGGGGTCACACCTCACATTCTTGGGCCCAAGCATAGCACCTGCCAGCCTCTTTCCTGCAGTAGTTGGGCCTATTTATTGGTTTTCTCACCAGGGACCAGAGGTGTGGCCCTGGAGGGTCACCTAGGCACTGAGGCTGGGACTAAGGTCCTGGGCTCTCCTTTCACCCTTCCTCAGTATCTAGCTCAAATCCCTTCACCAACCTACTGATCAGTGACTACACAGCCATTAACACAGTGTGCCTCTGTGCTGGGCAGCATGGTAGGCATATGAGTGTGTGCATACATGCATGCATACGTGAACCTCACTGAGTCTCACAATGGCCTAGGAGCAGTTACCACACTCATTTTACAGATGAGGAAACTGAGGTTTGGCTTAGCTGGCAAACAGCCCCGGCCCACACAGTAGCAGTGAATATCACTAGGTGGGAGTCTTCGAAGCCTTTTCTTTCTTTTTTGTCGGTCGTGGGGTTTGAACTCTGGGCCTGGGTGCTGTCCCTCAGCTTTTCAGCTCAAGGCTAGCACTCTACCACTTGAGCCACAGAGCCACTTCCAGCTTTTTCTGCTTATGTGGTGCTGAGGAATCGAACCCAGGGCCTCATGCATTCAAGGTAAGCACTCTACCACTGAGCCACCTTCCCAGCCCCTCAAAGCCTTTTCTTGACCATAAGTTGAGGACGTCCCGCTGCCTAATTAAGAAAAATGTGGAGCACACAGCAGCACGAGAGAAACAGTGTCTGCGGCACACACTGCTGAGGCAGCACCACTGAGGACTATGAAGCCCGAGCTTCAGCCTATGCTTTGAGGACCTGGACTGTGTGGACTGAGCAGTGGGGACTTATCCCCTGAGTCTGTACACAGCATGTGTGGGAGGCAGCAGCCATGGACTTACTGCCTCTGGGGCTCCTGCTGTGTGCCCAGCGGTCACGCGGCTCCACGTCCCTGCTTCTGCCCCTGCGGTCCCAGTCCCCGTCCCGATCCCGGTCCCGGTCGCCTGGAGAGTCAGAAGGCCCTGTGTTTAGTGGGGTGCGTTGACGCCGCTGGTTACGCCTCCTCCAGAAGGGAGCACCAGCCTTATTCCTTTCTTGAGAAGATGGATCTGAATCTGAGGGCTACACCCTCCCTGCTTTGCTGGGCCTCCACTGCCTCCCATTCCTAAGGGTCAAGTCCTGAGTTCCATGTCGGCCTTGGGCCGTCAAATACACATTATTCTATTGTGAAGAGCCAGACCTAAGGAAAGGACACACTGCCCTCTCTGAAAGGTTCTATGGACATTCCTTCCACAAACTGTCCCGGGAAGCTGGCACAACCTGGAGCAGAGACCAAGTAGCTTTAAACATTTTGCTGTGTAAAAGACCACAGAAACCAGTGTGCAGTTTGATATAAAAAGTGGCCTTTCACTTATTTTTCCCTTAGACCTCAGTGATGCTGACCATGAAGAGTAGTTTGCATAGGGGTCTTCTGGGAGGCAGCTGGAGATGGCCCTATAGTGGGGTATCCTGTGGTGGGGTGTCCTCTGGTGGGGTGTCCTGTGGTGAGGTGTCTGTGGTGGGGTGTCTGTGGTGGGGTGTCTGTGGTAGGGTTTCTGTGGTGGGGTGGCTGTGGTAGGGTTTCTGTGGTGGGGTGTCTGTGGTGGGGTGTCTGTGGTGGGGTGTCTGTGGTGGGGTAGCTGTGGTGGGGTATCTGTGGTAGGGTGTCTGTGGTGGGGTAGCTGTGGTGGGGTGGCTGTGGTAGGGTATCTCTGGTGAGGTGTCTGTGGTGGGGTATCTGTGGTGGGGTATCCTGTGGTGGGGTGTCTGTGGTGGGGTGTCCTGCGGTGAGGTGTCTGTGGTGAGGTGTCTGTGGTGAGGTGTCTGTGGTAGGGTGTCTGTGGTGGGGTGTCTGTGGTGGGATGTCTGTGGTGTGGTGTCTGTGGTGGGGTGTCTGTGGTGAGGTGTCTGTGGTGGGGTGTCTGTGGTGGGGTGTCTATGGTGGGGTAGCTGTGGTGGGGTGTCTGTGGTGAGGTGTCTATGGTGGGGTAGCTGTGGTGGGGTGTCTGTGGTGAGGTGTCTGTGGTGAGGTGTCTGTGGTGAGGTGTCTGTGGTGGGGTGTCTGTGGTGAGGTGTCTGTGGTAGGGTCTGTGGTAGGGTGTCTGTGGTAGGGTGTCTGTGGTAGGGTGGCTGTGGTGAGGTGGCTGTGGTGGCGTGTCTGTGGTAGGTGTCTGTGGTGGGGTGTCTGTGGTGGGGTGTCTGTGGTGGGGTGTCTGTGGTAGGGTGGCTGTGGTGAGGTGCCTGTGGTGAGGTGTCTGTGGTGGGGTATCCTGTGGTGAGGTACCTATGGTGAGGTGTCTGTGGTGGGGTGTCCTGCGGTGAGGTGTCTGTGGTGAGGTGTCTGTGGTAGGGTGTCTGTGGTGGGGTGTCTGTGGTGGGGTGTCTGTGGTAGGATGGCTGTGGTGAGGTGTCTGTGGTAGGGTGTCTGTGGTGGGGTGTCTGTGGTGGGGTGTCTGTGGTAGGATGGCTGTGGTGAGGTATCTGTGGTGGTGTGTCCTGTGGTGAGGTGTCTGTGGTGAGGTGTCTTTGGTGAGGTGTCTGTGGTAGGGTGTCTGTGGTAGGGTGTCTGTGGTGGGATATCTGTGGTGGGGTGTCTGTGGTGGGGTGTCTGTGGTGAGGTGTTTGTAGTGGGTATTTGTGGTGGGGTGTCTGTGGTGAGGTGGCTGTGGTGGGGTGCTCTGGGGTGGAGTGGGGTACTTTGGGGTGTGGTGCTCTGTGGTGTGGCGGGGTGTTCTGGGGCAGGGTGGGGTGCTCTGGGGCAGAGTGCTCTGGGGTGGGGTATGCTAAGGCAGGTGACTGGGCTACTCACTGCTGAAGGAGGGCACTGGGCGGGCCGGGGGGGTTCCTCCTCGGTTCCACCTCATGTCGCCGTTGCTGTTGGCGTCGTCTGTGGACAGCAGATACAGGCTTATAGCTGCCTCTTCCACTCTACCCTGAGACCAACCCCCCCCATCACGGAGAGACAGGACCTCCCTTCTCCTCCCATTCCCTATCCCTCCCACAGAGAGATGGGACCTCCCTTCTCTGACCCCCCCCCGCAACTGAGAGACAGGATCTCCCTTCTCCCCCACCCCTGCTCCCCCCACAGACGGGAACTCCCTTCTCCCTCCAGACCCTCCACTCTGGCCACTTGACGCCTGAGTAGAGAACATAGCTGCCACTTTGGTCGGTGGCAGGACCCTACCCAGGGGGCCATCTGCCAACCCCACTCCTCTAAATGTAAGTATCTCTTCTTTCTGCCTAGGTGTAGTTCTCAGCCAAGGGTGTTCTGTCCATCAGGGGCCCTTTGAACACATTTTGAGACACGTTTGGGGCATTGAGAGCGTCTCACCTTCGCGCTGGTACATCCTGGGATTCTCCAGCAGTGCAACCAGCTTCTCACAGCTGTCTGGCTGTCGAGCTCGCACCCAAGGCTTGAGCTTCTCAGGTACTGCTCAAGAACCAAGAGCCTGATAATCTCCTTGGTGTGATCTCCGGCTATAACCAATCAAGGCAGAGTTTTCTGAGTGTGGCCAGGGTCCTCTGAGGCCCAACAGAATCCACATAGAGTAAGTTCCGAAATCTCTGTGAGACAATTCTCCTAGGATGGCATCCGGCTCGTTAGCCAGGTCACTGTCTAGCTCATAGAGATTTGGGGCCCAGTACTTTTCAGGGTAGGTGGTGAGTGAGTGATTTAGAGGTAGCAGTTCTCTAAGCAAGGGCCCCACTGGAGGAACCAAACATGAGTCAACAGGAAAGACAAGGCAGCCTGTGACAGTCAGTACTGGGGCAACTGTGGATTGTAAGGAGATTCACACATGGCCCACAGGTCAAGGACCAGCCCCACCCAGGCTGCCCACAGGCTCTGGGATAAGAGGTGCCCTAACACACACACACACACACACACATGCACACGCACATGCAGGATGCAAGGATGGCTTCTGCACAGAGGGCTGCACAGACACACACAGACCTGTGCTCTGACATGGCAGTGTGACAGCTGGCCACTCCGCTGACAACCCTGGAAACCTGCAGAAGGGGCACCGTGGCACCCACATTCTGTTGAGACCCACGAAGCTCCAGGAAGCTAGGGAACCCCGCGGTTCCCCTGCCAACTCAAAGCATGGGGAACATGTTCCTACTAAAAGTGGGTGTGAGGCTTTTTGTAGGCAAAGGGAAGGGAAGCCACGGAGAGTGGGAGTGAGTCCTGCCATTCATTTCCTCAACATAACTACTGGAAAACAGAATCCAAATGCAAGCATGGACAGCTGGGAGTGCTGTGGTCACAAGCGTCCATTTCTCTAGACCTGTGCCGTCTATGGTCCTGTGCTGGCCCTACGCTGCGATTGCCATTAGAAAGGCAATCAACTGAAAAGTTAGCTCCTCATCTGCACAAGTTCACTGCAAGTGCCCAGCAAGTTCAGGGGCTGGTGGCCACCTGGTGGGATGTGAAGAACATCCCCATGCTCACCTCCCTTGGCCTGCTCAGGCTTGCAGGGAGGATGAGCACCCTTCTCAAGGGTCTATTTATTTGGGTTATTTGTTGGCCTCCCAGGGGTCATCTGGGACCTTGTGTAGAAGCACCAGGGAGTTTCCCTGTCACTGCACTCCCTGGTGGCAATGTCTGACACAAAGCGGGACATTAGCGCTGCTGTGACACACTGCAAACTGGGCTCGAATGTACAAAGAGAGTATCAGTGAATGCCAGCAGCAGGATGGGTTGTTTCTAGGGAGACAGAATATCTTGGGCTCAATTTTCTTACCTCAAATTATCTTTCCAACTGAAATTCTGTAAGAATATTCATTCTGGGGCATGAATTCCCCTTCACCTGCTCCCCTTTGTATCTGTACCCATCCTGCCTCAGTTCTTGCACAGCAATGTGCTTAATAATAATTTATTGTACTTAATATTTTAAGGACTAAAGTCAGGCACTGGTGGCTCACGCCTGTCTTCCTAGCTACTCAGGAAGCTGAGATCTGAGGATTGTGGTTCAAAGCCAGCCCAGGCAGGAAAGTCTGTGAGACTTATCTCCAATAAACTACCAGAAAACCAGAAGTGGGGCTGTGGCTCAAGTGGTAGCACACTCACCTTGAGCTGAAGAGCTGAGGGATAGCGCCCAGGCCCAGAGTTCAAGCCCCATGACTGAAAAAATAATAACTTAAGGACTATCCAGTGAGTTGGGAGCTGACTGGAATGCGTCCCTGGTGGGCTCGGGAACCTCAGTACACTGACGGGAAGATGGAACAGTGCTGGGATGTGCTACATGCAGCACTTTAAGGGGAGATGTGGTCAGTGTCATGTGCCCAAGCTGGCTGCAGAGTCCTCCATCCAGGAGGGGGACAGGTGGGGCATGGGCCCCAGATTCTGCTCTTCAGCCTCCACACTCCAGAACAGCACAGCCCTGACCCTCCTCGCTGGCACAGAGATGCCCTCAGGTGTATAATCACCTGTCTGGGAATAGAATCCTTCCTGGAACGTCAGACCAAGCAGCTACCTCAGGAACCAAGTCAAAACGTAGGCACCTGCAAACAGTTTAAAGGAAGAGATACATGCACTAAGAAAAAATGGAAGAAATGTAAAAGTGTTAGAGAAGCATCGCACACATATCCAGGACCAGGGAGGGTGCTGGGGTTCGGCCCCCTCCATCTTCAGAAAAAGCCATTCCCAAGCCACAAGACCAAACCAGGGCTGAGGAATAAGGCTTCCAGTTCTCTTTATTAAAATAGAATGACTTCAAATCCCAAGTCAAAGTCAGCACTGGTAATTCATGGACCAAATTTATTCAAGAAGGCAGAAGTGAACGGTTCTGGTGTTTTTCTTTTTCTTTTTTTTTAATTTTTTTTTATTATTTTTTATTTTTTGGTGTTTTTCTTTTTACTGAGTCTACTGGGACTTGAACTCAGGTCTTGCTCTTGCTAAGATCTATCAATTAAGCTATACCTCTGGCCCTAGAAATGAAAGCCTTCAGGCTGATAATATTGGACATTATTCAATGGAGTTCTAGCCAAGATACAGAAAAAAGAGGAGATAAGACTATCATTCTCTTTTATAAGATTTTTATCTCATCATAGATATGAACTTCACTCTCTAATAGGCATGTATTTGAAGCATTTAGTGAACACTGTAAGATCTATGATCTTCAACAGTCAGATAAAAAATCCACAAATTTTGAAAGAAAATAGTACAGGAAGATGAAAATACAATCCCAGGGAAGAAATCAAAATGTTGAAATAACTTAAGGACTACCCAAATAAAATAAGAAGAAAGTATTTCTGTATTTAAAAAAAAAAAGCCTCCCAGAGTCTGCGCTTCATGTGGTAGACAATGAGGCGGAGATGACCCTGCCTGCTCCCCAGGACCAAGGTCTGCCTGGTCCCCACACTTCCCCATACCATGTGACTCATGATGCCAACTGAACCCACCAGCAAACACAAACCAGACAGGGTCTTCCCAGTCTCCCTCTCAGGACCCTACTTCACCCCAGCCAAGCCATCATCTCTCCCAGAGCCCCCTGTGTCTCCCTGTACCCTTGGCCGCCTGTATCTTGCAGCCAGATGATCGATGTGACTGTCGCATGGCTTTTACATGAACATTCTTTGTGTCACTTCAGGAAGCCCAAATACCAGCAATTTGAGGACATTTCACACTGAATTAAAAAACTTACCTTTTCTAGCCTCAGTCGGCTGTCACCGGCTCTTCCTGTGGCTCTTCTTTCTGTGTCCCTTGGGACATCTCTGTCCCCCTCTGCTGGGATTATTCTTCCCTTACAATCCCCACTCACAAGGGTTCAGGGCTCACCTCCGAGGCCCCCAGTGACCTCGAGCAGGTCCTGTGTGTCCTCTCTGAGATTACGTTAACTGCCTGTAGTACATACTCTCTTTCAAAGGCATAAATCACACAATTGTGTTTTCTACACTATATCTGCCCATAAGATTGTGTGCGTGTTAGAAAAATACTTCCTTTGCCATGAGGGACTATGTTCCCAGTGCCTGGCACAAAGTAAGCACTTGGTCAATATCAGCAGATCAGCTGAATATCTCAATGCTTCTTAAATCACCCAGTAAGAAAAAGAGAGAGGGCTGAGAGTATCTGAGAGTTAGAAGAGCCATGGGAGACTGGGAAGGGTGGGGTGCAGCCAAGAAGGGTCTCCCTAGCAACTGCTTGGCCACCAGGCAGGTCAGTGTGAGTGCAGCACCAACGGTGCCCTTGCAGCCATGTGTGACACATGTCCAGGAAGGCAGTGTTGAAGCAAACAAGGACAGTGTTTGCTCTCAAGTTGTGAAACTGTGAGGAGTTAGTGCAACTCACCTGGACCCAGCCACCTAGCGTTTGGACGAAGTCCCTCCTTCTCTTGCCAGTCTGTCTCCAAGAAGGGTGAAGGTCAAGAAGGGTGAAGATCAAGGTCAAAAAGGGTAAAGATCAAGAAGGCAGAGCTGTGGGAGGAAAGGAGAATGTGAGACATCTCAAGATGGAGGGTGGTGGGAGCCTCTCTGCCAGGGCATGCTGGACCAGGACCGTGAGCCTTTTCATTACAGGTGCTGTGCTTTGGCGACTGTTGGCGTTCTCCTGGTGGACTACCAGCACACTGGACCCCAGAGCAAACAGTCAGGCCTCTGCAGGTTCTTGGGGCACATAATCTAAAGAGCATGACTCTTTCTGCTCCTGGGGTCGATGAGTGCATTTTGGACAGGTTAAATAGCTCATGCATTAGGGAGTCTGCACCATTACTGATGCTGCGCAAGCATCAGCCATGGCTAAAGCTACTGCCTGCCACTCAAGTGTGCACTTCAGTTAGTACTAAGCAGCAAGCGCGACTACCGTGCATTACTTTCCCAGCCTGGAATAATTAAAAAGGGCCTTAGAATTTCCCTTAGTGGAAACAGGGCAGAGATCTCCACCTCCCTCTAGGCCACCCTGCTCCCCTCCCCTCCCCTCCCTCGCCCCAAGCCTTGGCCTCTGCAGCTGCACAGCCCTCTAGTGGTTCTGCACATATGGGTTCTTGGCCATGGGGGGGGGAGGAGGTGAGGAGGGAGGGCTGGCTCCTCGCAAGCAGCCCCCACACCACGCCCCCTCCCCTAGACTGACAGCTGTGTACTCCTGTCCCCTCCCTCAGACTGACAGCTGCTTACCCCGCCCCCCACCCCAAGACTGACAGATGTGCATTCCTGCCCCCTCCCCTAGACTGACAGATGTGTATTCCCACCCCTCCCTCAGACAGCTGTGTACTCCCAACCGCTCCCCTAGACTGACAGCTGAGTCCTCCTGCTCCCTCTCCTAGACTGACAGCTGTGTAATCCTGCCCCCTCCCCTAGACAACTGCGTACTCCCGCTCCCTCCCCTAGACTGACGGCTGTATACTCCCGCCCCTTCTCTAGACTGACAGCTGTGTACTCCCGCCCCCTTCCCTAGACTGACAGCTGCATCTTCCCGCCCCCTCCCCTAGACTGACAGTGTAATCCCGCCCCCTTCCCTAGACGGACAGCTATGTAATCCCACCCCTTCCCTTAGACTGACAGCTGCATACTCCCGCTCCTCTCCTCTAGACTGACAGCTGTGTAATCCCGCCTCTCCCCTAGACTGACAGCTGTGTACTCCCGCCCCTCTCCCCTAGACTGACAGCTGTGTAATCCCGTCTCTCCCCTAGACTGACAGCTGCGTCCTCATGCCCCCTCCCCTAGACTGACAGCTGCGCCACTGCTTCCCGAAGAGAATGGCATCCGCTCATCTGTGTCTGGGCCCCACCCCTCTCCCCAGTGCCCAGGCCTTGCCCCTCCCACTGCCTAGGCCCTGCCTCCGGGTCTGTCTAGGAATCATTCAGAAACGTAGGATTTTGCGTAAAGTTTCTAATGTTTCCATGTTCTCCGGGTCGTGAAGACCCCACATCTCAGGTCCCCAGCACGGCTCTGGCCTTCTCCCCTAAGCCTATGCGCCTCGTGCATCTGGGCCCCACCCCTTGCTCCAGCCTCCAGGTCCGGATCTCTGAGCAGACCTCCCTGGGCTGAGGAATCAAGCTGAACACGTAAGCTCAATTCCCCGAACCTATGAGGCCCGCTGTCTGCATGGCAGCGGCCCCCGTGGGTCTCCAGGCTCCGACTGAGAGGGCAGGCAGGGCTGCGGCCTCCCAGAGGGTGACAGGCAGGGCCTCGCTGCCGCCTTCCACACTCCAGGCCCAGCTCGGGGCCACAGCGAGAGCCAAGCTTGCTGTCACTCCACATGGCACCTGCACAGTGCCAGCACAGCCGCCAGGGGGATGATCAGGGCTCGAGCTGCCACAAGCCACAGAAGTCAGCCCTACCCTGGGCCCGCCCTCCGTGGCTCCTCCGCAAAGATAGTACCGCTGGGCAGGGCCTTGGACCCATTTCACCGTGTCAGCCCTGCCCCGGCCCGCCCTCCGTGGCTCCCCAGCAAAGATGGCGTCGGTGGGTGGGGCTTCTGGCCCATCCCTCACCTTGTCAGCCCCACCTCCGGCCCACCTTCCCTGTCTCCCCAGCAAAGATGGCGCCAATAGGCAGGGCCAAGGGCCCATTGGTCACCATGTCAGCCCCACCCCGGGCCCGCCCCCTGCCCCCCCCACATCGCGAGTAGTGTCATTCCGTCATGACGTACCTCCGTAGGTGAACAGCGAGGATGACCACAGGGCGGAAGCGCCCAACACGTCACATAGGGAGCCCCGCCCTCGGGTCTGCCCCTCTGTAGTTGTTACCATTCATATACTGAATGTAGAATGAATATCAAGCACACCCTCAGCAAGTATTACGCCAGAGAGGGCGGGGCTCATGGGCCTATCACTCAACAGGAGCCCGGCCCCACCCTCTGCCGGCACTGTCATGCAAGTAGTTCGTACAGCGACCTGCAAAGATGGCGCTGGGGGGCGGGGCTTCTGGGCCTATAAGGAGCCCTGGCCCCGCCCTCTGCCGGTGCTGTAATTCATATAGCTCCTACAGCAAACAGCAAAGATGGCGCCAGTGGGCGGGGCTCAAGGCCTGTCACTCAGGAGGACAGCCCCACCCTCGGCCCATCCCTTAGAGCCACTACCATTCGGACATCACCTGAGCTACACGTCACCCCTCTTCATCCCCCCCCCCCACAGCTGCAAAGATGTCATCGAAGTAGGTGGGGCTCTGGCCTAATCACTAAGAAGGTAGCTCCTCCCCCAGGCCAATTCCTGGGAGCCACTGTCATTCACAATGGCGCCTGCGCAGTGTACATCCGGCGCCCCCAGGTGCCAGCACTGACTGCGCGGCCAGGGTGGGCGGGACTCAGCGCCCCCTCCCTGGGGATGGGCGCCCCGCCCTCCCCCTGCTCCTCCGCCCGTCCAGCCCAACTGTCGTTCACCAGAAAGCAGCGGCCGCTAGACCACGGGGAGGCGGGGGAGGTCCTGCTGCTCTACCTGTCAGTCACTCTTGGAACCCCGCCCCCAACCCAACCCCTCTGTGCCTGGAAAACGTCTCATCCGCTCCCAGCCTGGCACCCCACAAAATGAGGCCAGGTGCATCGTATGGCACAAAAGCTAGACAATGGCCGGGTGAGGTCTTACGGCCCCAGTCGTTACAGACTGAATCGCTATTTTCAGATGAGAAATCTGTAGCGGCCGCATTTGCCGCAAAGGGGGCCCCGCGACCATGCGCTCAGCTCCATCGGAGGCTGCAAACACCATCCGCGCAGCCCTGCTGCTGCCCGACCAGCAAAGAAAGAGCACAGGGGAGAGTGCCATGCCACCTCCCTTCTCGGTCAAGGCCACAGGCAACGGAAGCGCCAGCCGGCCCGAGCCGCACCTGCGCGACAAGCGCCACCAATATGGCGCTGGTCAGACGGGACCTGACAAGACCGCCCCTGGCCAGCTGCGCCACAGTCACTCCGCCTGGCCCCGCCCCTCCCCGCTGACAGCCAATCAGGGCGGTGCCTGCGCGGCAACCCCAAGGTAACCAGGCAAGTACTGCGGACTGGGCGGAGCTTGACGGACAGCCCTGGCCCCGCCCCCACCCTACAACAGCCAATCAGGGCGGCGCCTGCGCGGAAACCCTATGGCAACCAGCCAAGTGCTGCAGACCGGGCGGAGCTTGATGGACAGCCCTGGCCCCGCCCCCGCCCTCCAACCGCCAATCAGGGCGGCGTCTGCTCGGCAACCCCATGGCAACCAGCCAAGTACTGCAGGCCGGGCGGAGATTGACAGACAGCCCTGGCCCCGCCCCAGCCCTCCAACAGCCAATCAGGGCGGCGCCTGCACGGCAACCCCATGGCAACCAGCCAAGTACTGCGGGCTGGGCGGAGCTTGAAGGACAGCCCTGGCCCTGCCCCACTGCAGCCCTGGCCCCGCCCACCGCCACTGCGGCAAAAACAGCCCCGCCCCCAGAGGTGGCGCTGAGGCACCCGGCGGGCAACGGGGGTCCGGTCAGCCCAGCACCCCAAGACAGGGCCCAGCGTTCCCACCACCCCCAGACCCTGCTGAGGAGAAGGGACACCTCCGTGACAGCACTCTCAGGGACGGCGCCTGGCATCCCCTATCTGGATTCGCGATGACGGGAAGCGTGGCCATCCAGCGCCCGCCCCGCCCACACCGGGCAGGAGAGACGAGGAGGCCCATGAGGGGCTCGGGACCCCGTGACACCCTGACACGGGGGACACGGCGACCCGCGGCAACGCGGCCGCGACGCCCCAACATGAGGGGACACGGGAGACTTGAGGCTCGCGGCAACGCGGCCGAGCCGCCCAGACACGGGGACCCGGGGAACCCGGGGGCGGGGGTGGGAGTGACACGGGGCCCCCAGCAACGCGGCTGTGTCGCCAGGACACTACACTGGGAGCATGCCGCAGCGCCGCCTCGTCTGGCCGCATCTCTGCGGCAACGCGGCCCCTACGGCAGCCACTCCAGCCCCGCAGCGCGCTCCCTGGACACTGCCGCGCAGCGCGGGCAGAGGCCGAGGGTGGGCGCCGGCTGGCGGGCGGGCGGCTGACTTACCTCCCTGCAGCGCGCTCAGTCTAGTGAGCCCGCACCGCACTGAGCGCCTAGTGGCGCTACCAGCCCAGGGTGGACATGGTCGTCCTGTCTCCGTCCTCCAGCGGCTCCGGCCTGGTCCTCCCCGCTGCTCCGGCGACTGCGGCGAGCACCGCGAGACGCCTCCTTGTCAGGCTCCTCTGCAGAGGCGGGGCCAGAGCGTCGGCCAATCAGAGGCCACCCCGCCCCCCCGGGACCCCCGCCTGGCCCCCAACACGGTGCCAATCAGTCCGCCGTTGCCATGCCAACCGCTTGGCGCGGAGGCCGGGGCTGACGTCAGCGGAGCCCGCGCCGGGGGCCCTGGGGCAGGGTCGGGGGGAGGGCCGGGGGACAAGGGGGTGAGGGGTGACAGCCCGGAGGCGTGGGGCCGGGATGGGGAAGTGCCCATCTGAACAATCCCGGGGCGCGCAGGTCGATAACGGGGGCGCGTGCACTTGTCCAAGGGAGCAATGAAATCATTAATTCGTATTTTTAATGATTTCATTTCATGTGTTGACGCCTCACAACTCCAGCCTGGGGAGGGCGCGCACAGGACGGACAAGCGTGGCGACTCCATCTGTCCGCACCCGCCACGTGCCCGGGCCCCGGCGAGACCGTCCGAGCGGGATAGGGTGTGGGAAATAGACGGGCTGCCGGTCCGTCTACGGGGGCGGGGGACACCCAAGCCAGCCCGATGGTGGGGGGCACACTCCAGTCAGCCCGATGATGGAGGGCACACTCCTGTCAGCCCGATCGTTGGGGGGACACCCCAGTCAGCCCAATCGTTGGGGGGACACCTCAATCAGCCCGATCGTGGGGGGACACCCCAGTCAGCCCGATTGTGGCGGGCACACCCCAGCCAGCCCGATCATGGGGGGGGGACACGCCAGCCAGCCCCACCACACGCAGCCGGCCACCACCCTCCCACTGCTGTCACGGCGCAGGTCACCGGGGAGACCCGGGAGGGCGCAGGATCGGCCGGAACAGCGGCGGCGGCGGTGGCGGCGGTGGCGGCGGCGGTGGCGGCGGTGGCGGCGGCGGCGGCTATCGTGCTAGGCATCCGCCGCACCATGCACGACCCCGCGGGCTGATCCCCTCACGGAGCGGAGGCCCGGGAATGGAGGCCAGAGAGAGGAGGCCCCGGAGAACATCTCCCTGGCCTCCCGTCCCACCGTAGATGGCCTTCGCAGCTCTTTTCTGCTGGGACAAAAAGAGAAAGGAAATGGGTGACTTGGTAGGAGCTCACCTTCATCCCGGTGGCCAACCACTCCTGCAAAAGGACTAGAATTCAAGGCAGAGAATAAGGTTGAGCCCACTGGGGAGCTCTGGGGTGCGACCTCTCTCTGGCCACCACTGACTTCTGGGGTGCGACTCCTCCCTGGTCACCATCAATTCCTGGGGTGTGACCCCTTCCTGGTTACCATTGACTCTTGAGGTGCGACCCCTCTCTGGCCACTACAGACTCCTGGGGTTTCTGGGGTACAACCCCTCTCTGGTCACCACCGACTCCTGGGGTAAGACCTCTCTCTGGTCACCATCGACTCCTGGGGTGCGATCTCTGGCCATCATCAGAAACATACTTCTTAGAAGAGAACTGGATTGTGTTCTGAAAAAAAAATCCATATGCTGTGATTTTTTTTAATGTCGTCTATTAGAAATGAAAACAATACAATGTTTTTTTATCAGGCACAAAAAGTCACAGTTGTGATTTTAATTTTAAAGGGGAAAAAAATTCCTGAGACATGGATTTTTGGGGGGGAGGGTCGAGGAGGAGGGAAGCAGTTTACCTAGAAGAGCACACAGAATGCCATATCCCAAATTACATTTTATATTTATAATAAGGAACGAGTTGCCAAGGGGGTCCTTGCTCCTGAGAAGCCTCAGTGCCAGGCAGGTTGTACGTTTCACACTACCCACACATTCCAGCCATGCCACTTAAAAATAAAATATGAATAGAAACCCTGTACTTAGTATGCGAACAAACACACCTTCAAAACAAGCTGCCAGGACACTGGAGGTGAATGTACGATTAGCTCATGTCAAAGATTTTTCGAATCTGGCTATTCATTAGGTTTTGCCTTTCCTGGGAGCTGCTAAGACAATGGGGGGTTTCTAGGACCCCCAGAGTGGCTTTGAGTTGGCTTCTGCTGAGAAATTCTGGTTTTGGAGCTCCCAAGAAATCCCAATGTCTGGCGGAGGTCTTAGGGGTGATTTTAGCATGTTTTAAGGACAGGTAGGAACCCTTTCTTTCCCCAAAGCTGTCTGTCTGCAATGCCTGGGTACCTCATTTCCCAGTGAACCCCACATGGCCTGTGAACCCCTGTGGCTCAGTACCCACCTACCTGTCCCCACCACACAGCTTCCAAGCCAGCCCACGGCCATGACCCTGACTGCTCGCATGTCACCTCTAGCTAACACACATACACACACACACCGGCCTCCCTGAAATCTGACCATTTTCACCAGTCCTTTGGTGACTAGGAAACATGTCTTTGCCTATGCTGGCAGTTGGTATCTGAATTAAAACCTCTTCAAAACAAAACCTCATGATAATTTCTCCTGTTTGTGGGAATGCTTCATGGTTCTGGGCCCTCTCTCCCCCCTGAGTCCCCCTCCCCCTAGCAGGCTCTCTGTCATGGCCTGCTCTTCCTGTGTGCAGTCAACACAGGCATGCCAGGGCCTCCACTGTGAACCTCTTCCCCTA